GTCATACTCAAAAAGCCTGATACATGATTCTCACTGCAGGCAGGGAGCCGCATCAGTTTAGAACTCTACGTATATTGGAACAAAACAATCACCTCTTTTACTTTAGATGTCGAGCAGGTTGGCGAGACGAACTACGTACCACAGGCCACTGCCAAGGCTTAAACCAACAATATCAAAAGATAGCTTACAAATAAATAGTATGGAACGTCTCAGGGAGTCGATAATTGTCTAGGACTCTGGAAATAATCGGTAAACTAAAAGAGACTATTTTCTCCCTATTCTAACATAGGCGGCTGCGGCTGCGGCTCCGGCTGCGGCTGCAGCTGCGGCTGCGCTGCGGCTGCGCGGCTGCACGGCTGCGCGGCTGCACGGCTGCGGCCGCGGCTGCGGAGCTCTGCGAGGTCCCGGCGGTAACCAAGTTGACGGTTCACCGCCATCGCCCAGTTCGAGTTTCGAGCCTAAACTCATCAGACTATAAACTCTCTCCGAACCAGCAACGCATTAGTTATTTGGTCCCCCCTTTATCCTGCCCCTGGCCAACCTCCGACGGAGAGTTCGAGTTTCGAGCTCAATATCAAACTCAAACTTTTCTCCGAAAGAGAAATGCATCAGTGACTCGTAGAGCTTCCAGATAGCGAAGCAGCAAAAGCCAAGTATTACACGATCACTTCCGGGCAAGTTGGCCAAACAAATCTCGACGGACAAATCCATGACTGTTGCCACGTTGGAGGGAAAATATGCTGGAAAATGTTTGACAATTCATTTGGGATGGGTCTTTGTTCTGGACAGCTTCGATAATACTCCTGCTCGCCATCTTGATCTCAGGTCGGACGGAGCATTTTGAAAGGCAAAATCCAATGAGGCGGGTACCCGCCCCGAGACCATACTTTGCACGTGCGTTCGGTTTTTTGAACCTCGACATTCAGACCAGCTACAGATGTTTCATGTGTACCAGTAGCTTGAACAGCATCAGCAGCAACAGTCTAGGAGGATCGAGAGGCCTGCAACCGGCTTGCTACTCGAAGTATGGCCGAACAAATATTCGCACCCTGTAACTTTCTGGGTCCAGTGTTTGGTTTTTACTTGATCTCCAGATATAGCGCAGCTAAGCAGCATCGGGAGCACTAGCGCACAGGATCGACACGCCTGAGATCGGTTTGCCACTCGAACCTTGGCCGAAAAACCGACGCGCATTCTACAATGCGTTGGGTCAACTGTTCGGCTTTTCGACTGGATCTCGACATTTAGAGCAGCTACACAAATTTTATATAAACGGATAGGTGTAGCAGCATCGGAAGCTGTCGCCCACATGCTCGAGACGTCTGAGATCGGCCTGCCCCCGAGCTACTTAGGCGCAACGAAAGTTTCAGTGGAAACGCGGACGACCTCCAGACGACCTAAACAGGAAGCCTAGGCGGCCCCATGGCCCCAAGATGGTTCCACGACGGCCCCAGACGGGCACGAAGATGACCTCGGGCCGACCCCAAGAAGACCCCGTGGCCACTGCCGAGGTGGCTGGAGCATTTGGAGAGTGCAACACCATGATCTTAAGATGACCTGGGGATGATTTCAAGATGACTTCAATATGGCCCGAACACGACGACATACATTGGCGGGATTGGGTCCCACCGCGGGATTTATCCGGACCCCACTTTTTATGAATGGAGCATATGGTTGGCCGGACTAAAACTATATTATTACAAAGGGGACCTACTCGCCAAGGATCCCGCCGAGACCACGCAAGAAGGCCATCTTGCTAGGCTTATAGGGGGGGACGGGGGTTCAACGCATCCTGCCCCTCAACCCCATCGAGGGCCCAATTCAGAAAATGCAAACACCTTTCGGAGCGGCGATGCATGACCGGAAAACGATTTGTACTCTGTAACATTTTGGGGGCAAATACTCGGCTTTTTGATTTTATGTTCGAGATTTCGAGCAGCTACAAAGACTTTACGTCTCGCAATAGCCCCAGCAGCATCGGAAGCAGTCGCCTATAGGCTTGAAAAGCCTGACATCGGTCTGCTACTCGATCTATGACCGAGAATTACCCTGTGACGTACCCAACCTATTGTATCATGGGAAACGAGGAGTTGGCCGAAACTTGCACGGACAATCAAATTGCAGGATCCGTTGTTTGATATGTAAGCTACTTGGGACACGCGCCAATGGCATGATGCGCAGGAGAACCATACAAGAACGAGGGGCGACAACTACAGGCTCGAAGAGGACATGGGGAGTCGGGAACGAAGAGCAGGAGAAAGACGTGCGGGAAGCCCACTGTGCTGTGCCCCTCAGCAGCCCTCGAAAGTGGCGACAGTTTCACAGATCGCAGCCCCCCAGGGATGGCGAGGTCCGACATGGCGAGGTCTAATGAGTCTGCAGTGAGTACCCACTGTGCTGGGCCCCTCAGCAGCCCTCGAAAGTGGCGACAGTTTCACAGATCGCAGCCCCCCACGGATGGCGAGGAGTCTGCGGTAAGTACCCACTGTGCTGGGCCCCTCAGCAGCCCTCGAAAGTGGCGACAGTTTCACAGATCGCAGCCCCCCAGGGATGGCGAGGTCCCAATTGAATCCGCCGTGGGTACCCACTGTGCTGGGCCCCCCAGCAGGCCTCGAAAGTGGCGACAGTTTCACAGATCGCAGCCCCCCAGGGATGGCGAGGTCCCATTTGAATCCGCCGTGGGTACCCACTGTGCTGGGCCCCTCAGCAGCCCTCGAAAGTGGCGACAGTTTCACAGATCGCAGCCCCCAGCAGCCCTCGAAACGCAGCGACGAGCGAGGTAAGAAAGTGGCGACAGTTTCACAGATCGCAGCCCCCCAGGGATGGCGAGGTCTAACTTGAATCCGCCGTGGGTACCCACTGTGCTGGGCCCCCCAGCAGGCCTCGAAAGTGGCGACAGTTTCACAGATCGCAGCCCCCCAGGGATGGCGAGGTCCCATTTGAATCCGCCGTGGGTACCCATTGTGCTGGGCCCCCCAGCAGCCTCGAAAGTGGCGACAGTTTCACAGATCGCAGCCCCCCAGGGATGGCGAGGTCCCATTTGAATCCGCCGTGGGTACCCACTGTGCTGGGCCCCCCAGCAGGCCTCGAAAGTGGCGACAGTTTCACAGATCGCAGCCCCCCAGGGATGGCGAGGTCCCATTTGAATCCGCCGTGGGTGCCCACTGTGCTGGGCCCCCCAGCAGGCCTCGAAAGTGGCGACAGTTTCACAGATCGCAGCCCCCCAGGGATGGCGAGGTCCCATTTGAATCCGCCGTGGGTACCCACTGTGCTGGGCCCCCCAGCAGGCCTCGAAAGCGGCGACAGTTTCACAGATCGCAGCCCCCCAGGGATGGCGAGGTCCCATTTGAATCCGCCGTGGGTACCCACTGTGCTGGGCCCCCCAGCAGCCCCTCGAAAGTGGCGACAGTTTCACAGATCGCAGCCCCCAGCAGCCCTCGAAACGCAGCGACGAGCCAGGTAAAAGGCAGGGGGGGAGAGAGGGACGGGAAGGAAGGTTCGCGCAAGCAGTGCTCTATTCAAAACGAGAACCCAACGCAGGAGGGTTGGGAAAAATACTCGCGCACTTCAACTTTGTGGGGAATATGTTTCTGTTTGACTTGATCTCGAGATTCAGAGCAGCAGCGATGTCTTCTGTTGCAAACTGGGTTCAGAAGCACTGGAAGCAGTCGCATCCATGCTCGAGAATCCTGTAGCCGAACAACAACTCGCACGCTGCAATTTGTTAGGGCACAGTTCGGTTTTTCCGACTTGATCTCGTGAATAAGAGCAGCTACAGGGCTCTGCGTCACAGAAGATGATTCAGTAGTATCGTTAGCGTTAGTCGAAACCCTCGAGAGCACCGAGCTCGGTCGCCCTTCCGATCGCTGGACAAGAGCTCCACGAGTTTCCCAGCGGCAACGGAGAGTTCGAGCTTCGAGCTTAAGCTCAAACTCTTCGCTGCCTCCAAAACAGAGATGCATTAGTTGCGCGCTTTCCCCCCCCCCCTCCCCTCAGCCGACTTCCGGCGGAGAGTTCGAGTTTACCGAGCCAAACCTCAAACTCCCAAACTCTCTCAGAACCGGGAATGCAGCAGCTGTTCGTTTTCCCCTCTCCTCTTTTCCCGGCAGCGCCGACGGAGAGTTCGAGCGTTGCGCTTAAAATCAAACTCTAAACTCTCTTCGAAACGGAGGCATTCGCCGTTCGTTCCGTCCCCCCCCCGGCCCACCGACGGGGAGTTCGAGTTTCGAGCTTAGACTCAAACTCGAAACTCTCCCCGAGACGGAAATGCATCAGTCTGTTTTCCTTCCCCCCCACTCGGAGGGCTCCTACAGGACTGTTCCCTTTAATCCCACCAGCCCTCTGGGCGTCGGTGGTTTAGGGCGTTTCCTCTTCCACCCCTCCCTCTTCCCCTTCGGGGAGGGGTTTACCCCTCCCCCTACCCCCTCCCCACTGACCTGGACAGGAGGGGCGGGGAGCGGTCAGAGCGTCCAAAACGGCCTCGGCGAGGAAGCCAAAATCATTGATTTTACTATGGTTTTGGCCCCATTTTGGCCTTCTGAGGGGGCAGCGCTAATTAGAGCTCCCCTCTTCTTTCATCGATTTCCTCCACGATGGCCGCAAGAGGCCCCCAGGATGCCCCAAGAGGCCCCGAGATGGCCCCAAGATGGCCCCATGCGGCCCCAAGAAGCTCCCAAGAGGCCCCCAGGATGCCCCCAAGAGGCCCCCAAGAGACCCCCACGAGGCCCCAAGAGACCCCCCAGAGGCACCCAAGACGCTCCAAGAGGCCTCGGCGAGAATGCCCAAATCATTGATTTTACAAAGGTTTTGGCCACATTTGGGCCTCCTGGGGGGGGTGGCACTGCTTCAGATGACTCCAAGAGCGCCTGGGAGAGCCCAAGATGACCTCCAAGATGGCTCAAGATATCCCAAGATGCCTCAAGATGGCTCCCACGATGCTCCAAGAGGCCCCAAGACCGCTTCAGGACGGCTCCAAGTGGCCAAAGAGCTCCCCCAGGAGGCCCCGAAGAGGCCAAAATCCTTCCAAAACCTTCGGAAAATCAACATGTTGGGCTTTCTCGCCTTTTCGCTTCCGATGGCCATCCGAGGCTTCAAGATGACGCCAAGATGGCCCAAGAGGGCTCCAAGAGCGCTCTGAAGGCTCCCAAGAGCGCTTCAAGAGGGCCCCACGAGGCACCCATGAGGCCCCAGGAGGCCCCAACAAGCGCCCCAGAGGCCTCCAAGAGGCCCCCAAGAGACCCCCAAGAGGCCCCAAGAAGCTCTCCAAAGCACCCAAGACGCTCTAAGAGGCGTCCGGGACCGCCAAAAGGCCCCTAAGACGCTCCAACCGGCCTCCACTGGGGTACCCTTCCTTTGTGTGCTGCCCACTTCCCTGATCGAGGCACTTCCTCTGGGCATCGTTTCTGGATGGGCTGGTGGGGTTACGCGAAGCGTCTACAATTGTGCGTTATCTCCGCATCTGCACACGAT